AAAAAAGTAAAAAAGGAATGATGTAAGGCAGGGAACCGGATAATTGGGCAGCGATTTTTAGTGGTGGGAGGTGTGGGATGAGTATTTTGGGGGGGGTGGGATGGGGGTGATGGGGGTGCGAGATGGATTGGAGGGATACTCAACTCGGCCGCGAGAGCACAGTAGTAGAAGTGGGTGGGAGGGAGGCAATGTGAGCTGCTGAGCAGGTCAGAGCGGAGAGGAGCAGAGCTCCGCAATGCAGTCCGATGTGTACGGTACTCGCACAGTGAGTAATGAGCGATGGGAAAGAGAGACAAGAGGCGCCGCAGCAGCGAGTGGGAAGAGGGAAAAAAGGGAAAAAATAGTTGTGAAAACCAAGATCAGGGAGGGGGGGGGCAAAACGAAATAACAAAAAAAAAAAAAAAAATTGGCAGGTATAATGAAAATAATAGGAAGCTCAATAAAGTACCTGTTTCTTCTGTTGTGTATCGTTTTTGTTTTGTCTAGAACGGAGACAGTTAGATATTGTAGCCCCGTTAATCAGACGTAATTATGCAGTTGCAATAACCTGCAGAAGAAGGAAGTTTGCAGAAGGGCGTCGCTGTTCCAGAAGACTGGACGGAATGCTGGTCAGTTGAACTGTATTCAACGGTAGAGCAAATGTAGGCGTAAGGGTATGGCAGGGAGGGCAGGATGTAGGACGGATGTCTACCAACAGAACGGCCGCGTTGGGTTGCAACGGGTAACTTCTGTGGGTGTCTCTGCCCTGAATCTTGGTCCTGATCTCGAGGGTTCAGTCAAGGTTTTGGTTGCTGGCTGCCCGTTAGAGTGCCGGCGCTTTTTCGAAACAATCCTTGGAGCTACTATTAAGCGCCAGCCAGATGGGATGGATTCGATCTTCTGTCACGTTCTGCGGTGACCTGAGCAATCGAGTGTTTGCAAAGTGGAGGCCGGTCTTCGGTGTCAAGAGACTTGGGGAAAGCAAACAAAAAGAGAAGAATGTCAATTGCCGGCGCATCAAATGTGAGAGGGGATGGGTATGCAGGTCATGATTGGCTGGGCTGATGGGATATGGCATGATGGGAAAAAAAAATATACGGGAAAAATATCAAGAGAAAAAAAAAAAAGTACGAGTATGATACTGTGGAGCAGACATGAGCGCGCGGGCAATATGTGATGGGTAATGTATGTAAGATGCGTAACGCATAACTGTGGATAGAACGGAAATGAAATGGAAGGAGGGGGTGGGAAGATGCTCGGTGGTCGGGACTTACTTGTGGAACCCAGAGGATCCTCGCACGAATTAATCTATCAGATGTATGTACTTCGGAGATAGGCTTGCTTCGTGCATAGACTGAGTGAACGTTGGTGCGCAGGGGCGGCAATGATTGATCAGTGGTCCACTGTGAGGAGAAAATGTAATATTATAAAAAAGAATAAAAAGAATAAAAAGAGGTGTGTACGGGACGTGAGCTGGTGTGAGTGCAGGTGCTTGAATTGGTACAACTTAGTTTTATTGCCTTCCTTAGTCGGGAGAAGTGTGGGTTGTGTGCACCAAGAACACGATCAAGAAGCCGCGGCTGTTGACAAGTGGGAAATATGATAGTTGGAATGGTGGGGTCCAGTGTGGCTGTACTCGTACGCGTGGGTCAAAATGAAAAAATCGGGTGAAAAAAAAAAAAAAAAAAATGCTGATAGGATAGCAGAATGTTAGCGGGGTGTTTCTTGTTCTTGCACTTTTGCCCTCTTTTCATCTCTCCTCTTCACTTTTCCCATCTCTCCATTAGAGCCCGGGCGTGTGAATGCGTTGCTAGGGTACGGTAACGTAAAATAAGAGTAAAAATAAAAACAAGAAAGGAAGCGATGATCCGCTGGGGAGATGACTTGCTTTTGCTTGTATAAACTCAATTGTTTTTCTTTCTTTTTTTTCCTCAATACTCTCCGGTAGGCAATGAGTCGCGCTGTCGCGTGCAGGACGTTTTGGGACGAATTGGTTGAACGACACGAGGATGCTTGACTGCAAGATCGTTGACGGGCGACTGGGGAGGGCTGGTCAAGGGAGGGGAAGCGAAAAGAATGTCGAAAATTGATGACCGCTTCTACGTTACACACACCCCAGTAATCCTTCCGCAAAAGGTGTCTTAATTCAGTGCCTCAATTGGATTGAGGCCTGGTTTCTGAAAGTCGAGTGCGAGAGAGTGAGTGAGGTCAGAAGTGCGAATGTGAGTGTCGTGATTGCCAGGGCTGGGGAAAGGGCAGACAGGTGAATGCGCGGAGGTTCAGGGTTGAGGTGGGGAAAAAGCCACGGGGGGATGGATGCCTTCTGGATCGAGGTGACAGTCGACAGGTTGCGGCACTGTGCAGGGGAAGATGGAGGAAGGGGTTCGGAATCGGCTGGGCGGGCCTGGTCTATAAGAGAACCAGGCAGGGTGGCGGGGGTGGGAAGAGGGAGGGATGGTTCATACGGTACTGCACTCGAGCAGACGGTCAATCCACTTGAGGCCAAGGGGGAACCTGCGGTGATCGATGGGCAGCCCTGGAAGAAAGCAACCTGCCCGGGCGCGGTGAGCAACAAATAAAAAATAAACTATAAAATTTAAATAATAATAAAAAGCCAAGCACTAAGCAATCAGGATCGCGCAAAGGTCAATTGGTATGGGTCTCGGGGAAACATCGGCGTATAGGGAATGGCACGGTTTGATATCAATTCCGAAAAGAGCAATGGCCGAGAAAGAAGTAAAATGGAACAAGAGTTCGAGAGTGCCGGTACCGGTACTGTATGCGGGTAAGGTTTTCGTGTTTTACCTATCCCAAAACCTGCGATTCCAGAGTGTCTCCAATAATAGACAATACTCTAACTTCCCTTTGGACTTTTTGAAGGAAGATTCATTGCCAACTTCTGTGCCACCCGTAATATTCGGATGGGTGCAAGTACCGTACCGGTACTGTATCTCTCGTGACCCTCGCCTTGCTCTTTGGTTGACGAGATTTCAAGGGGGAGAAGTGGCTTACCGGTAATGACCCGTCATTTTTACAAGCAATGACGGTGGTGTAGGAGTCAATTATATCATACCCCTCTCTTCCCCGTTACCTCTGGTGGGATCTAGTGCTGGTAGGTGTGTGGACGGGTTCCTCTCTTGTAAGTTTTGTGTACCGGAGCCTCTCGAGGTTATCCTGAAGACCCTAGCTCTCCTGTGATCTCTGGGTCAAGTCCCGAGCCCGGACCAATTGCTACAGCACCCGAGTACTCCAGCAGTCTAACACTGCTGAGAAAAGGGTTAATTGATGGATGATGCACCTTTACTCACGAGGAAATGAAACCTTCCAATTAGTCAACACGCCATCACAAACCAGCCTTCTTGTTCTAATCCCTAGTGAAATCCTGTTAACGAGCGATATATCAGGTCTTCTGCCGTAAATTGTAAACTAGAGGAATCAGAGTCCACCTTTCTTACCCATTTCGATCAAGACATAGGTGCTGGTGGTACTCGAGTACAAGTGTCGGGGCGATTTATCTGGGCTATCCCGACCCATTCCGCCATCCCCGACCACACCCATCACGAGTGACCTTGTATGATATGCAAGACTTTCTATGGCCAGTTCTCCGAAAGGCAAAACCTAACCCTCTCCCCCTCCTGCATTGTATTGTTTATTTTTATGTATTTTCCCTTTTCGGTCACTCGATTCATTGTGATGAGTGTGCGTGTTAATATTCCTCCTACATCTTGACCTGACCTGGATCGTCGGTTTTACCATGTGGTATCATATCATGGTGTGATATTTCATCACGGCGGTCCAAGAGTGGTGCCTTAGGTGCCTCTTTCGGGTGTTTTGGGATCCTTTTATTGATCCTCTTGAGCAAATGACCACCTCCCCCAGACCCTGCAATATCACACCAGGCTAACTTGTAAAACCTATTTTTGTCCCTCAACGCCAAGGACTCATGGCACTGGGGCTGAGGACCGGTGTGGGCGACAAGGTATGATACGAGTACTTTATGCTCTAGCAACACCTAAGTGAAGCCTCAATCACACCTCCAGCATCGGTTTAGATCATGACGACACATATTTAAATTGGGTTTAGCTTTACCCCCTTTTGTTCTTCTCTTGTCAGTTACATTTTACCCGATCAGGAACAATTCACTTTGCTTTCTCTTTTCTCCGGTTTATCGAGTCAGTCACAGAACAATATTTTCATCGTCAGGTTAGCCTGGACGACCATCCACACAAGGGAAGCGGCAGGCGGCCCATTACTCCCACACCGGTACCGTATCCCTTGCATATTGTAGGGACTGGGTCAAAGGTCGGGTAACCTCAGCAGTCGCTACCTTGTTGCGTGTGCTTTGGCAAAGTCCTCTATCAAGCACACACAAGCTCTACCAACACCCCCACCAGTTCAAACACCCCACCAGTTCAAACA